AGGGGCGCTCTGGCCAGGACGTGGGCCGGGCACTGCACGTGCGTCGTACTGCGTTTGCGCGTCCGCAGCGCGGCGTCCGCCCCCGTCGGCCAGGTGGAGCGGGGCGTGTGTCCGCAGCCTGCCTGCCGTCCGGGGAGACCTTTGCTCCCGTGCGTCTCGGCTCCGGGATCCGCACGATAAGAGCCGCAGCGCCGTGGCCACCCTGTGAATCGGGATCGACACCGTGGCCGCCGTGCCTTTGGTTCGGCACCGTTCAAACTGCTCCCGCGCAGAGGCTGGTGGGCTTGAACCGCACACTTCTGGGTTAGCAGCCGAGCCCTGTAACCACGGCACCGGCAGAGCTCCTTAGCCACCGACTTACAAGCCGCGGTTTTCTTTTTATCCCCACGAAGAGCTTGTCATGCTGTGGACAGCCAGGGGTGGGGGTGGGTCCCCCTCCCCGCCCCCCCAACCTTGTCAGCGACTCAAGGTGAACATCTGTTTTCCTGTCCCCCCCCCTGCACGGGGAGAACAAACCTACCAATGAATGGCCCAGTGGGGGAGCTGAGCATCAGCCGTCTGGTGATTTGTAGGTCCGTGGTGGCCTCCTAATAAGTGTAGACCGGAAAGATCTGCCGCTTGGGGGACACCAGGGTTCCAGACCGAGGTGGCCTGCTCAGAGGCCCGAGAGACTGCAGAGGGCAAAATTAGGGCCCGGAGATAGCTTGGGAGGGACATGGGTGGGACCAAGACCATGGGTCTGCAGGTGGTGGGGCTATCAGGCAGGCTTGTGGCATCATGAAAGGTATATCTGAAAGTAATGGGTGTGTTTAATTGGCTCCATCCAGTTTGTAACCCCATGATAATACCCTTGCAGGGGGCTTCATCTATGGTTACATTTAGTCAAGGGTACTGGAGCTCTAGAGCGAAGGAACAAGAGAGAGGGAGAGAGAGTTGGACTTAAGAAGGCTTCAGCACTACACTGAGATATACAGCTGACTTCATTTTGTGATGGTGTGATAATTATAGATTTCACATCCCTTTTCCTTATATTTTATACGTAATCTCAGTTTAAAGCCCCTTCCTTTCATCACACCTAGACATACATCTCCGTTAAAGTTGATTTCTCTCCAGCAATTAATAGAACGTGGGTTGTCTAGAACTTAAAAGTAATATTTCAAAATGCAGCCGCTCTCTTTTTTTGCTGACCAGGCTTAAGCTTCCCTTACTTACATTTCTGGAAAACTGTACCTGGAAATCCAAGAACCACTTTATTTTATTTATTTGTGGTTGTTCATAAATCATTTTATTGGTGGCTCTTACAGCTGTTATAACAATCCATACATAATTGTATCAAGCCAACATTTTCAAAACATTTTCTTTCTACTTGAGCCCTTGGTATCAGTTCCTTTTTCCTCTCCCCACCCTCCAACCCTCGTGAACCCTTGATAATTTCTAAATTATTTTTATTTTCATATTTTACATTGTTCACTATCTCCCCTCATCCACATTTCTGTTCATCCCCCTCCCAGGGGGTGGGGGAGAGGATTATACTTGATCTTTGCAATCGGGTCCCCTTTTCTCCCCCCACCTTCCCCCTACCCTTATGGTATGGCTGCTCTCATTATTGGTCCCGAGGGGTTTATCTGTCCTGGATGCCGCGTGTCACTTACCCATTAGAAGGACCTAAAACGAGTTCCGTGCTTTCTAGATTCTGTCCTTTGTGATTGACTCTCACCCACCACCTCTTCAGACCTACCATCGTCCACAGCCCCGAGTGTGGTAAAGAGTGGTACCAAGGAGCCCTGTCTAGTGGCACAACTTTCTACCACACTACATGCGTCCACCCCCCTCTCCAGGCTCCCGGCGGGGCACAGTCCACGGTCTCTAGCGTGAGCATAGAAGTTGGACACTGGTCTACTCCACCTTTCCGTAGGAGAGAAAAGCTACGTGGGAGGCACCCTGGAACCCAGGGCAATTGCTTCTTCCCAGGATGGGCCACCTGTCAGCATCTTAGGTTCTGTTCTGAGATTCCCTTTCTGTCCCTTAGGGTCTGGGTGTTTCCCTCAACATTGAGTTTCATTGGTATCTCACTCTAGCTCAGAGATGACTGTGGGTGAGCACATGGACTGCCCCCACCCCCGGCCTTTCTCTGCACATCCTGGCTAGCCTGCTCTAGCCAAGGGGCTTTGAGAGGTGCTGAAGGCTAGGAGAAGGTAAATAAGGCCCAGCTGGATCCCTGAAGCCAGCTGGGTAGTGTGGAGTGTGCACTTAGCTGGTGAACTGGCCGGGACAGGACATTGGAGACAGAATGTTTCTTCCTTTACCTTATAGAGCACCAAGTGCGTGGATGTGGATACACCAGGGGGGTTGTGAAAATTGGAGGTTTTGTCCCGAGTGGGGCTTGAGGTTCACTGTATATCCTAAATCCCGGTTTATGCTGAAAATAGCAATTCTGGAAGAGGATGGGAAGTAAAACTAGAGAATACTATTCATTGTTTACACAAAGACAAAGAAGGCTCCCAAGTAGGAGCTGACTGTGTGGCCTAGTGGGGAGGGAGAACTGAGAAACACGTGGGCGAGATGGCTCCTTAGAGGGAAATGAATGGCTTACTTATTCCTTGATGATTGTATGTTTGACTGTGTTCAGGAATTCTCCCGGATTTCTGGAGAGCCTGAGGACTGGAGGTATCATGACAGAGTAAAGAAAAAGACAGGAAGGAAGGAGGGAAAGAAACTAAAGAGCTTAAATGAAAGCAAGAAGAGCGAGAGCCTCCGCCTGTCTTGGGTCCCTTGCTGTGAGGAGGGTGCCAGGGGCAGCTCAGGCAGGCCGGCCTGCCTGCCTGCCTGCCTCATGATCTGAGCCGTGGTAGCCAGAGCAGGGGGCCGTGGAGCTGGTGTGCTGGCAGCTGGAGCTGGTCCCGCCTCAATGCCAGTGCCATCCTAATGTGTGCAAAACTGAGGACCAGGAAGACTGTGTATGTGTGCAAAACTGAGGACCAGGAAGACTGTGTATGTGTGCAAAATTGAGGACCAGGAAGACTGTGTATGTGTGCAAAACTGCACACATCCTAATGTGTGCAAAACTGAGAACCAGGAAGACAAATATTTTCATATTTAAGAAGCATGGGAGGTTAGGTTTCTGGGTGGAGGGAGGCCTTCGCACTTGTAACTTAGAGATGAGTCCCAATCACGGTCTCATAATTAAGATTAATCCCCACAGTGTGATTGCTGTTCGGCCAGCAGCTTTATCTACAGGAGCAGACATGTTGCAATTACTCTCCCTGCTCAGGGGGTATTGCGCCCCCTTAGCTACCCCCAGCACTGGCATTAGGTTGCTCTTCCAATGAGATCAGGGACCTTGGGGTTAAGGTACAGCTCACTTTGTCACGGAGGTGGTTACTTGTAATTAAGGGGGCTTGTGTGCCCTGAGACTATATAAGCCGATATAAGAATATGTTTTCTCTTTCTCCTGGACCTGGTTCCTGGTGGCATGGAGGAGGTGAGCACCCTAGAACTTTGTCTGTCTCTAAATTTCTTCCCTTCGGTTGCACAACCATCCCTTAGGACCCGTCTGAGGGTGGGCTGGATCCCACAGTAGTGGGGCCTGGCCTTGGGCCTAGAGGAAGCTCTGCCCAGGGCCAGAGCTGAAGGCTGGAATCTGCTACTCCCTCCTTACTCAACAGTGTTTCCTTCCGTTTCTGGTCCCAGGTGTGGCGAATGGAGAGCTAGTATGGTCTGGGCAGATGGAGACCAAGAGTGAGCATCTTACACTTCCCTGACATCACTGGTAAGACTTCTAAACTGCTCTGCCTGGCTGTGGACCACTCACATCATTCACCTGCCTGCAAAGTGCCCAGTGGCTCTGCCTCCTCTCCCAGCTCTCTTCCTGAAGTGCTTCTTGGACTCAGAGAGCACATTCTCCTAGACTTCCAGAAGCCGGAGCCAGGACATGGTGAGTACTCCAGAGACCAGGGCATTGTAACTGGCAGCGGGGAGGCTGGATAGCATTGTTGGGGGGCTGTGTGCTCTGGGCCCTCAGGCTCCTGCATGAGGATAAAAAAGCACTGAGAAGCTCACTCTCAGTGGCATCACGAGGCCCTGTCCCGTTGTCACTGGCCCTTGCTGTACACATCTGTGAGTTTTCAAGCCTTGGATGCCTGTGGTTACCTTCCTTAGGTGACTCCCAGGGCTGGCCTCATGAGGTGTTCACGTCCCCATCCGGGGCCTTGGTTCTCTGTGTTGACTGGCAGAGCTCTGTGACCAGAGTCTGCAGATGGCTTAGCTGCATTTCAGGAGGCTGTGCCCTGGACTCTTCAGTGTTCTCCTTGTTTCATTTATGCAAACGATTCTCTTGGTGAGGCAGTTACATAATTTCATGTTAACGTGAAGATATATGAAAGTGTGTAGGGGTGGAGTTTAGTCTGTCAATCAGGCCTAACACACTTGACACTGCAGCTCTTGTGTGCAGTTTTAAAACCACAGTTCAACTTCTCCACTGTGTGATGAGGAGGAAATGTGAGAGGGTTGACAGCAGACAGTAATGGGGTCCTGGGTGAGGCTTGGTTTTTCCCGAGTCCTCCAGTGAGCTGGGGTGCAGTGAGTCCAGCTGGGACAGGAGTGGGATCTCCAGACCCATCTGTGTCTGAGCCTTGCTTTTTGCCGGAGGATTTCAGACAGGTGGGAAGTGTAAGTATCTCTGCCGACAGGTCCCTATATTTTCAACTGCTCCTCATGGTCTGGAATGAGAATATAAAATAATAGTTTAATTTCCTGATACAGGAACTCAACATGGGAGCTGGTGTATTTTTCTTGGGCTTACAGTTTCTAGTGGAAAAACGTTTCCAGATCAGTTTGTGTTTCTACTGAGACACTCTCCACGGATGGATATACATTTCTCAAACACAGAGGAGTGCTTATTTGAACCGACTGAAAGGATAAGACAAGCACGGCGGTGTCATCTGCATGTGGCAGGTTGTTGATAAGCCTTCCTCCAATCCTGGTGCCATCTTCTTCCTGTAAGCCAGCTTCTCTGATGTTTTGCTCAGCATGCAGATTGAATAAGTATGCAGCCCTGTCACACACCTTTCCTGATTTGAAGCCATGCAGCATTCCCCAGTTCTCTTCAAACAACTGCCTTTTGATCCAAGTACAAGTTCCGCCTGAGCACAATGAAGTGTTCCGAATCCCCATTCTTCTCAAGACTGTCCAAAGTCAGGTTACAATGTAATGCCTCTGTGATGGTAGTTGTTTGTCAGGGCTGCTCATCAGATTGTCTTGTTCTACGATAGAAGAATTCAGTTCCATTCCGTCCACAACTTCTGAAATCTCTTCTGTCTTCTTAGTATAATCTGTTACTTCAACAGCAAGTAGAGACAAGTTCATTCTGTCACAGGGTAAACAATCCATCTCAAAGTTTATCTTATTTGCATCATGGTTTACTTCAAGTATGTCTTGTGATGTGGGACCCTGGCATCTTCTCCCACACTGCTCCCATTGTCAGGAAGATCTGAAGGCAGAGTACACCGAGAATCAGAATGTTCCAGTGTTGTAGTTGGTCTTGGAAGGTTCTTAGCCCTGCTTTGAGACACAGCTTTACCGACAGACTTAGGTGTGCTAAGTCATGGAGAATGACATTCAGCAGAGATAGAAAATCTGAGAATGATTTAACTGGACTTTCTGAAAATCCCAGCACCAAACACTGTCGTGTCAACGTCCTTTGGTGTCACAGTGCTGCCGCCGCCCGCATGCCCTCAGTCCTGCTTCCTTCTCTCTCGCATCGCATGGCAGCTAAGCAATTCCCGACAAACAACTACCATCACAAAAGTAGCATCTCACAGGAGGAAGAAACGAAAATTCCTTTAGACCAATCAATACTGTTGATAATAAAGGTATCACGGTAGAGTGCCCTCTTCCTGATTCCGCTTAAATGGCAGTAACCCCTTGACTCAGGGAGAGGAGACACTGGGAGCCTGCCCGACACATCTCCTTCGGTGGCACCCTGATGGCCTTTTCCCCTCTGCCGCTTTGGTGGAGAACAGGCAGAGGAATTTTGAATTTAAAAGTAAACCCAACGCTTTGTTTATTAGCAATGGCTGTGATATAGTCTTAAAAATACTGAACTTTTGGAGACTATAGATTTGTATTCACATCTATTCATTTATATATTCTCATGTAATGTTTGGGGAATATTCTGTGTGGATCAAAGTGTGCCAAGTATAATACTGTTTCTTAAGGGAGGCTGGGATGTTTTGTAATTATTAACCATGCAGAATATGTATGCTGAAAGTTAAGTGTCCTTACGTACAACTAGTGGAGTGTAGACTTCGGTATTAATCAAAATGTAAAATTCAACATTGATAGAAATATGGGAACCTTTTGTACTTTATTCTTAGTTTAAACCCCTGAGTCATTTAATGCCGAACAGCTCTGCACCTTGTATTGCCCAGTGTGGATTGACTGTACTTTGTTGAACTTTCTATATTCTGAAGTAAATTTATATGTTGTAGTTTCAAAATATTAAATTGTTAGAGGTGGTTCATTAAAAAATGTAATCCCTTATTATTTGATTTCCCTTTTGACCCATTTTAAAGTTGTTTCAGTTTTTAGTGGTTTGCTTTATTCTTGTTTGAGGGTTTTCTGTGTTTGGCTTAGTCACTGTCGTTGGGTTTCTGTTTGCTTATTTGCTTCCTGTTTGTGCTTTGTATCGTTTTCTGAAGCTGAAACCCATGGTCGGTAGATCTACAGAGACAGTGACTGGGTTGATAATTGCCTAGGGACATGGCAGGGGAAGAATGGGGAATATGGGGATCTAACAATGAGTATGAGAAGAAAGTGTTCTGAAATTGATCGTGGGAATGATTGTACAAGTCATCTTACTATGATTGAATGATTAAATTGTATGATTTGTGACGTATGAGACAATAAAACTATTAAAAATGTCTTAGCTATTTGTGGACATTTGCAATTCAGTCTACATTTTTGAAGAATCTATTGTGAAGTTCAAAATATTCATACCATTTCATGGAATTATATTAGAAATAATCTATTTGTGGAGAACAGTTAGCATGTAGTACCTTTTGACTTAGTTCAATCTATTCAGATGTTACAGTACAATAGCTTATAATTTTGACATTAAGATATCTAATTAATTACACTCTTGATACCTTTTAACCTTACCAAAATGTCATCAGATTAATTTCTCAACTGCTTGATGCTAGTATACAAATGGAATGGATGAAATAAGCCTTATCTTGAGATCACTGTTGTCTGAATCCACTCAGCACTAACTCATCTGCACTCTTTCTGCCTGCCTTCAATAGGTGTAATTACTTACGCTGAAATATAATCTGTTCTTTAACTTTTTAGGAATAACATTCTTCTCTATCCTCCTTTCTTTTTTCTTCTTGGTGTTTATCGGCTACAACCCTACGTACGCTTGAGTAGAAATGAAGTCACGGCTTTCACTGTCTGTACCGTTTCCACCAGTAAAGAGCTGACATTGCCAGTGCAGCTGTTCTTCGACGTGCATGTATGCAGATGCCCGTTCTCATTACTCCTTGTTGGATGTGGCCATGACCTTCTAACGTGCCTCCCAAGTTTTACGTTTGCCCCGACCCACGGCTTCTGCGTTCTTTAGACTTGCCATACGGTTTCCAGCTCAGGTCAGAGATGTAAACGTTGCTCTGCATTTCTCCAAGAGGAGAAGCTGGAGTCTTTTCAGAAGCCACCGTGTTCCCCAGCACAGGATCTGCTCACCGGCACCAGACTGTGACTGCTCAGTCTGCTAACGTCGTGCTCCCACTGCTGCCCCCGGTTCTGGCGTCTCCTCCTGGAACAGACTCTTCTCTGCCATCCTTTGGTTAATTCCCTCACATCCTTCCAATGTTAGCCGTGACCATTCTTCTTTTTCACATTTTATTGTGAGCTAGGTGGGGGGTTGCATTTCAGGAAGTTATTTTGGTAATGAATAACTTACAACCAAACCTCCCAATTGCTTGCCCTGTCCACTCGCCTCTTTTTTGTCCCCATCCTCCCCTCTAATAGGATATTCTGAATCCAAATTGTCACCTATGAACTCTCTAGCCTGGTGTCTGGTGTCACTTCCCTCCGCTCCCCTCCCCTTGCTAGTAACCATCAACGTCTTTTTCTTTTTTAAGAAAATCTATTTATTGGGGGCTCTTACAGCTCTTATCACAGTCCGTCCATAAATCCATTGTGTCAAGCACATTTGTATATTTGTTGCCATCATCATTTTCAAAACATTTTCTTTCCACTTGAGCCCTTGGTATCAGCTCCTCATTCTCCCCCCCTTCCTCCCTCATGAACCCTTGATCATTTGTAAACTTCATGTCTTACACTGAACTGCTGTCTCCCTGTACCCATTTTCTGTTGTTCGTCCCCCTGGGTGGTGGTGGTGATGGTGATGGTGGTTATATGTCCGTCATTGTGATCGGTTCCCCCGTTCTCCCCCCACTAAAGTCTTTTTCTTTTGGTATAAAACTCGTTATTTTTTTTCTTTTATATCTGGTCTCATAAAATATTTGTACTTTTGTGTCTGACTAACTTAGCCGAAAGTGCTCCAAATCCACCATGTCATGAGCTGTTTCTGGGTTTCATCGATATTCTTCAGGGATGCATAGTCAGATATTGTGTGAAGGTACCAAAGTTTGTTTATCCATTTTTCACTACAGGGGCTTTCCACCGTTTCCATCATGGTGCTGCGACGAGCATGGCCGTGGGCACCCAGTGTTCATCTGCTTGTACTTTGCTCCTTTTTTTCTTTTTCTGAGTTACGGGGTTTTATTAGAGAAGGTACCAGGTTACAAGTCTGGATCAAAAGGCATTAAGGATACTGTCCGAAGCGCCACTTCTCCATCATGCCAGTAGTCACGTCTCTGCCTGGTCCTCAGCCTCTCTGCCACTTGGTCTCTTGGTCTCTCCATGTTCTTTATTTCTTTAGGGAACACACTGAGTAGCTGGATTGCTGGGTCATACCGTATTTCTATCCCAGTTGTTTGTAGAAGTACCAGACCGGTTTTCCACACTAGACACACCGTTTCACCATCCCATCACCAGTGTAAGGCATTCACTCTCTCTGCACCCGCGCCAGCTTTTGTTATTTTCCGTTTGTTTGTTTAAATAGATACTTTGCTGTTAATGCTGGGATGAGTTGATATCTCTTCATTGTTTTGATTAGTATTTCAAGTGACTAATGATCTTCAGCATTTCTTCCTATGCTTGTTGGCTGCCTGAATATCTTCATTGGTCAAATGGCTGTTGATGCCCTTTTTTAAAAAAATTGAAATATTTGTCTTGTAGAGGTATTTCACTTTTCTGTAGATTTTAAACAGTCCCTTATCCAATGTATGATGGTCGCGAACTCTTTCCTACTCTGGGTTTTTTTTTTACTCTTTGGATAAAGTCTTTTGATGCATACAAATGTCTTATTTTTAGAAGGTCCCAGTCATCTGTTTTGTCTTGTGTTATGTATACTTTTTCTTTCATTTTTTCGATAGTGCATTTATGCCATATATTAGGACCCTTAAGTTTGGCCACATTTCTTCCTTGATGATCTAGGGTTTATATTAGGTCTTTGATCCATCCTGGGTTAATTTTTGTATGCTGAGTGAGATATGAGCTCTTACTCATTCTTCTGCAAATAGATATCCAATTTTTGCAGCACCATTTTTCAATTTTCCCAGCACTTTCTTTTAGACTTTCTCTGTCAGTGTCCAACTTGCATATTTATTTCCTCAGAGCTTCAGGGTTTTCTTCTATACCTGTTTAGTTCATATCTTTGTTGCAGAGGGTTGGTATGGTAGATCTGTCTAGACCGCCATCTCTTAACAGAAGTCTCTCAGGTAATTCTTTTCCATTAATTTATTTGATTAGACTAGTGAGGTCACTGGGCAAATGATTGCCCCAGAACTGAAAGGACATATAGGCAGAGACACAGAATCATTTCAGAGTAGAAAGCAAAGGCCAAAGTGGCTATGCACTCTTCCCGTTTTGAGGTTGGCATTTGTCCGGTCACCCCAGTAGCCTAATATTTGAATGCACTATAAAGAAGACCCTTGTCATTGTTAGGTGTCATTGAGTGATGCAGCTTACAGGGACTCCAAGTGCAGTGGAGCGAAACGCCGGCCATTCCTGTGTCATCCTCAGAATTGTCGTGTTTTCTCCCATTGCCACGGCCACTGTTGTCAGTCCTCTCATCAAGGGTCTGCCCCACTCACCGATCCTCTACTTTACCAGACTGGCCTCTTCTGAGAACATATCCGAAGAACCAAAGGCGATCCTCACTTCCAAGAAGTATTCTGACAGGACTTCCTCCAAGAAAGACCTCTTTGTTCTTTTGGAAGTCCACCGTACATTCCATGTTCTTTGCTAACACCACAATTCAGAGACATCCGTTCTTCTCCATCCTCCCTCGTTTATGATCCAGTTTTCCCATGCATATGAAGCATACCTGAAACTGACACAGCTTTAGTCAGGTGCGCTGCTGTCCTTTGTGGAAGCGTAAGCATGCTCACTGCCCTGTTGTCTCTTGAGTATCCCAATGAATACCACCACTTGCATCATCAGCACTCGCAGTACACTCCCGTATTCATGTGTCAATACTCTTTTAGTGATGAGTTCAGGGCTTTGGATTTCCACGTTTTTGTACCAAGCACAGGTCCTCCACAGCTGGTGAGTGCTGCAACATTTGCTCCTTGTTGCCACCCTGCAAGTCACGTTTGAAGTCTGGTCGGTCTGTGCATGGAGACCGGGGGGAAATGAATCAGACAGTGAAGCAACGAGACTGATGGCCAACCCTTAGGATGGATGTTAGTAAAACAGAATACTCTGTCAAGTCTGCATGGAGACTCAGTTCCCCAGGACTGTCATCCTCCCCGCCCCTTTCACACACTGTCCGGATGACACCTTACTGAACCAGAGTATGTGATTGGTTGTAGGACTCGATGGCTATTGAAGATTTGACCGTGGACTTTTCCCAGGAAGAGTGGGCGTTGCTGGATCTTTCTCAGAGGGAGCTCTACAGAGACGTGATGACGGAAACCTTTCAAAACCTGACCTCAGTAGGTATGGACGGCTTCTTTTTAAAAATGTGTTCTATCGTGACTAAATAGGTCATCCTAATTAAGGTTACTCTAGTGTGTGGACCAAGTAATGGGAATACATTGCTAGGTAAGACCAGTGTGGTCATTTACTCTCTGGAGTCTGCATGTCATCACTTTCTCATGAATTTAAAGGTATGTGTATTAAATGGACTTCTTTTTCAATTGTGTCTAAAAGCCTGAAGCTTCTTAAGATGTTGTAAACATAAGCATTGATTTTCTTTGGTGTACAAATAAAACAGTGCTCTAGTCTATGTAAATATTTTTACTGTATTTATTACAAGTTTGATATGACAATTTTGCTACAAATAAATTACACTTTCCCATACTCCAGAGACTGTGCTCCATTAAGTACTGGCTCAGTATCAAGGATGCGTTCATTGTCCATTCCTGTCTTCACTCTTGACATGCCTTTCTCTGTGAGCTGCATACCAGCTACTCCCATTTGTTCTCCGAGAGTGATGAGAGGAAGACCTGAGCAGAGTGCAGGTCGTACTTACTCAGGAACACGGTCTTGGGGCCATGAGGCAAGACTCCTTTGAAAAACCGGGCCCACATGTAGTGAAGGAGACTTGAGTAAATCAGAAGGTTTCTGTTTGGTTGAGGCGTATGTATTTCACAGATACCTGCGAAGCTTGCTTTTCTGACCCGTTCAATCCTAACGCAGTTGTGTTCATGGACAGATAATGTTCTGTGTGTCTCGTGTGATGTTTGCGTGTGTATTGTGCCCAGCACCTATCTAGTTCATTCTTCTCAGGAAGCCCTAGTGGTGCATTGTCAATCTTCATGGTAGGTTTTCCTGGTAAATTGCTCGCAGATTATTTAAATAGGAAAATGTGTACAAATTCTCCTTTTCTCATAGCCAGCTTTGCTTCCAGAGTAATGTCTTTTCTCTTTTTACTTTCTACTCTGTGAACTGCACCAAAAATTATGTGATCAGTTTCTCGAAATCTTGATGATGGAGAAAAGCTGTCCGCGGAAAACACAGTAGTCCGATTTATGAACAATGACATCTGGTGCTCCATGGTTGGCCAGATCTGTGAATCGAATGTTATTGAGGACATGGAGAACAATCCGGACACATGTGTGAGGTGAGTGTCATTCGTTCGAGAGAGCAGTGCTGCAGGAGAGAATCTGAAATTTATATCCAAGGACCTTTCAGAAAGCTAGTGGGAAATGAAATTAAAGAATAACACAATTTTGCGTTAACTTCTTAAAGCCCCTAAGTATACGTGCGTACATAAACTCAAACAGTACCATTGCGTGAATTCCAAATCATTGTGATGTTATAGTACAAAGTAGACTGGCCCTTTGGGTTTCTGAAGCTGCAAATCTTTAAGAAAAACTTTTAGTTTTATTGACATATAATCCACACATTAACCATATTAAAAAGAGTTATACAAAGATCACCGTAATTGATTTTAGAACATTTTTTTCTTTCTTGTTATCATTATTAATAGTTCCCTATCCCCCACCCCAACCTCTCCTGCCATAATTCAAAGACACCATTAATCCAGTTATTGTCTCTATAAATTTACCTATCCTGTATCTTTTTGCTTTAAGGCTTCCCATATATTGTTTATTCAGCTTCTCCAATCATTAATATCTTACACATTTGTTGTATTAATTATTCTCTCTGCACATTCTTTCATACTATTTGAGAATGAGTTATTCCTACTTAGCAATAAACAAGATCACTCTTTTACCTAACCAAAATAGAGTTATCAAAACCAGGAAGTTATCACAATAAATACTACAATATAATGATATAAGCCTTATTCATATCTTGCTGGTTGTTCAATACTGTTATTTAATAAAACACAACAAAACCCTAAGCTCACTGCCATCGAGTCGCTTCCCACTCAGAGTGCTGCACAGAGCACGGTGGGACTGCCGGCTGCCACCCTTCCCGGGAGCAGAGTCCCTCTTTCTCCTGCGTAGCAGTTGGTGGTTTCAAACTACTGACATTGAGGTTATCAGCCCAAGGCTGCAAATCTTTATCTGAGCAGAAAGTCTCATCTTTCCCCTACAGAGTAGCAGATAGTTTCGAACTACTGATCTTGATATTCAAAGAGCAGTGCATAACCCACGGCAGCACTAGGGCTCCATATGTATGTATGTGGATACGCACACAAATACATGCATGCATATTTGTGTAGATAACGTGGATGATACATGTATATACAGATAATAATGGATAGATGTATAATAGCCTGGTCGCATCTTGGGTTATGCGTTGGGCTGCTAACCACAAGGTCAGTAGTTTGAAACTACCAGCTGCTTTGCAGAATAAAGAGGAAGCTTTCTATTTTGTAAATACTTACAGTCTCAGAAACCCACAGGAACAGTTCTACTCTTTCCTACAGGGCCCCTGTGAGTCAGAACTGACACAACGGCAGTGAATTTTGAGGATACACACACCTACACCACATTTACATGTATTGGAGCCCCAAACCAAAGTTGTACAATTTCATAGAGATTTTATTGGAGAGAATAGAGTTGCCCCTGTGGGTTACTGAGACTGTACATCTTGGGGGTAGCAGGAAGCCTCATCTCCACTCACTGTAGGAACCCTGGGGATGCGTTCATCTGAAACCCCTTACTGTTGAGTCTATTTGACTCATGGCAGTGCCACTGGATGGTCCAAACCAATTAACCACCAATCTTTAGGTTTTAGTTGAGCATAATGTTTTTCTGACCTCAAGGTTACTTCTATATGGATAGAAAATCAGCTCTAAAATGATATGTTCACAGAAATTTTTTACTATAATAATTTTTAAAATGTGAGTTGTTGAGTATTTGAAACATTTCATTGATTTAGGATTAGAAAGCCCTGTATTAAAGAAACACAGTTGAAAATAGCATCTCTTCAGATAAATTAATACATGAACTGCAAGACAATTCAAAGTAAAAATAAAAATACGTGTTTACGGTAATAGTAAAATAGTAATGAACATGTATCTAACTATTTGCTGTCTATTTTTAACAGAAAATATATGGTAGCGAATGTCTGTGAAAGTAATGAAGACAATCAGTTTGAAAAGATCTTCAACTGGATCCCAAACCTTTCCGTACTTGGGAGAACACGCGTGGAAGCGTACCCTGCGTACCTTGAGTGTGAACAACCCTCCACGGAGCGGCATGCCGGCTCTGGTTCTGAATGCAGCATCTATCAGTGTAAGGGTTACGGAGATGCCTGTGGTTACCCCTTTGACCTCAGCACCCCCGTGAGAACCCTCCCTGGAAAGAAGCCCTTTGAGTGTAAGGAGTGTGGCAAATTGTTTCGTCATTCATCAAACCTCATCATACATTTTAGAAGTCACAGTGGAGAGAGGCCGTACATATGTAAGGAATGTGGCAAAGCCTTTAGTCAGTCTTCATATCTCACTACACATATAAGAATTCACAGTGGAGAGAGGCCTTATGTATGTAAAGAATGTGGCAAAACTTTTAATCGATCATCACACCTAACTGCACACATAAGAATCCACAGTGGAGAGAGACCTTATGAATGTAAGGAGTGTGGCAAAGCCTTTCATCATTCCTCAAGCTTCACTAGACATATGAGAACTCACAGTGGAGAGAGGCCTTATGTGTGTAACCAGTGTGATAGAGCCTTTCGTTACTCTGCACACCTCACTAGACACCTTAGAATGCACAGTGGAGAGAGGCCTTATGAATGTAAAATATGTGGGAAAGCCTTTCGGCAGTCTTCATACCTTACTAAACATCTGCGAACACACAGTGGTGAGAAGCCTTATAAATGTAAGGAGTGTGGCAAAGCCTTCGGTTGGTCCTCAAACTTCACTAAGCATATTAGTACTCACAGTGGAGAGAGGCCTTATGAATGCAATGAATGTGGGAAAACCTTCAGTCACCCCTCCAACCTCACTGTCCATCTAAGAAGGCACAGTCGAGAAAGGCCTTACGAATGTCCAGAATGTGGCAAAGCCTTCAGTTGGCTGTCACACCTCACCACGCATCTACGAACGCACAGTGGGGAGAGACCTTATGAGTGTAAGGAGTGTGGCAAAGCCTTCAGTTGGTCCTCAAACTTCACTAAGCATATGCGTACTCACACTGAAAAGAAACCATATATCTGTAAGGACTGTGGGAAAGCTTTTCATCATTCCTCACACCTGATTAGACATGTGAGAACACACAGCGGAGAGAGGCCCTATGAATGTAAGGAATGTGGCAAATGCTTTCGGCAGTCTTCATATCTCACTACACATATCAGAAGTCACAATGGAGAGAGGCCTTACGTATGTAGGGAATGTGGGAAAGCCTTTTGTCATTCTTCAGTCCTCACTAGACATATGAGGATTCACAGCGGAGAGAAGCCCTATGAATGTAAAGACTGTGGGAAAGCCTTTCGTTGGTCCTCACGCTTCATGAAACATGTGCAAACACACAGGGAAAAGCAGCCTTGAGTAAGGATCGCTTCATATATATAGTACTATAATTTCCAACACAAAATTGCTGAAAGTCTCGAGAGTACAAAATATCCCAGTAAGTAAAACACAGAATTGGAAAGAAGGTGTTAATTGGAGCTAGTTTGTGCCTTTGGAGAAGTAACCGTGTTAGATGACTATTCATTTGTCTGTTGGCACTGATTTCTCCTGGTTTGTGAGCAGTGGCACAGGTGTTTTTCAGGCCAGGCTAAATTTTACCTTCTTTCTGTATCCTCTGCCACCATAGCATCTGAAAAAGCCTGTGGTGAAGGGGAGCAACAAAAGCGGTCTGAAAGTTCACCCTTGGTGGCACCCACCCTATAAAAAAATAGAATTGTGGATACTGCTGATTTTTTTGAGCAGTTTCTTCCAGAAAGAAGCCAGGTGAATGGGAAAGCCGGTTATCTCAGGAGAGGGGTTGTAACCAGTGAAAGAAGCAAGAGCAAGATTACTTCTGTGACTTCCCAGGTGCCTTTCCCAAAAGGTATTTGAAACATCCCCCAAAAAATATTTGAAGAAGATTAATCTATGTGGTTGGTTGAATGTGGTCACCACATTCAGGAGTTAGGAATTACATTAAGGAAGTTAGGAATTACATTACTTCCAACTTAACCAGGATGAAGAAGGGGAAGAAGATGAGGATTAAAATTCACTTCTCGGGAAAATTTTGTATGAGTGTTTGAATAAAACTTGGGATCGAAACAGATAGCTGTCCTTTTATCTCTGCAGCATGGAAGACGAGACACTGGGAGGCCCAAGCCCCACATGACTTCCACTCACTCCTGTAACTTGGGAAAATGGCAGTTCTCAGTGTAGTGATTCCAAACTAGATAGATGTGCCTTGTGACCTCAGGCCACTGCTGATCGTAGGACGCTTGATGGGGAGATGTGGACAGGGAGCTACAGTTAATCACGATTATGAAAACTTTGACCATTTTACCTGATTCTTTTCTCCAAGAAAGACGGGAACTTCTCGTTCAATTAGAGCAAAACAGCGGCTGCTTCTGAGGGGTGCTTTTTGTGGGGCAACTCAGGTGTCAATAAAGATGCAACTTTCCGGGGCGTTTGTATTATGAACACTTGAAGAAAGCTAACAAATTACTCTGTAAAACTTGGGTGTGTTTCCCTTTCCCCTTTTTCTCCCGATAGAAATGTGACCCAATAGAAGTGTGTGTGTTTTTTAATTACCTTCTTAAAATCTTTGAGCATTAACAGTTAGGCTTCCTTGAATACCACTGAGTATATATGACGTTTGTGAATTTTTTAAACCTTAATTTGCATGCAATAAAGTTTACTGATCTTGTATTTGCATTGAGATTGTTTTTGTAACAGTTTTATTGGCACTTCTTGCACATGTCCTAAAATTCAATAGTTCAATTCTCTGAAGAGTTATAGTCATTACCACAATCAATTTTAGAACATTTGTTTCTTCCTTGTACTCATTGTTGTTAATTATTTTTAATTATAATTACTATTTTTAATTGTGACAAAAATATGCACAAGTCTCCATTTCAACAACTTCTACATGTATAATTCAGTGCCAGTGATTATACACTTCATGTTGTACAACCTTTATTGATATCTTTGTCCAAATTACTCAACCACCATGAACATCAACTCAGTGCTTCCTAAGCCAAACTCCCTCCACCCATGGTAATCTTTGCTCAACTTTGGTTTCTTTTTTCTCTTTTTAGTAGTTTTCTTGATATGAAATCCACATATCACACACGTTCATAGTTAAACTCGTTGTAGTGCTTCCTCTCCCCACACTCATTTGCTCCCCAATTTTTCTAGCCTCATACCTGTCTCTGATAACCCATTACATGTCTCTGTGCATCCAATCTTGTGATATATTTTCTGGGTTCAAGATTCCAGATTGACTTTTTTTTCACCTTCAGGACTATAGTCATTCTGTTGTCTTGCCTGCATGGCTTCTGCTGAGAAATCTGAGGTTATTCTACTTGCTGACCCTTTGTATGTAATTCCCACCCCCGACCCTCTGACTGCTTTTAGATTTTTTTCCTTGTTGATGTCAGACATCTTGACTACAATATGCCTGAGTGTTTTCCTTTTGAGATTGCTCCTCCTGATTGGGTTATTTCGGCTTTGAGGATAATTATCTTTCCATCATTAAGGCATTGAGAAAAGTTTTCTTGTAGGTCTTCGTGGACAATTCTCTCTAGATTTCTTTGTTTCTTCCTCTTCTGGAATTCCTATACAAAATAGGTTGTTCCTCTTGTTTGTGTCCCACATTCTTTAAGATTTTCTGAGTCCCCATTTGCATTTTTTCTTTTAGATTGGAGTCAACAGATTTGTCTTCTAGCTCACTAATCCAGATTTTCATCTCTTCAGTTTTGTTTCTCTGTTCTTTTATAGTATTGTGTAAATCTGCTATTGTAATGTGTGACTTTTGTGTTTGGAGTTTTTCTGCTAAGTCATGTAGTGAAGTTTCTACCTTTTTTTTTTTTTTTGAAGTTTCTACCTTTAAAAAATGTTTGTTTTTTCACTTTTCCTTTCAGGTTCGTTCTTCATCTGTTGTATGAGTTCAGACATTTTTGTTTTTTAGTTCAAACATTCTTTTACATTCTTTTTCTAGTAATTCCATAGCTGGTTCAATTTCAGGCAATTCATTTAGGTCTGGTTGGTTGGTTATTTATCTGTCTCTCTATCTGTTGCTGTATCTGTGTGTGTGAACCGTATCTTCTGTGGTTTCCTTGACACCTTGGTGTGTCTGAGGGGTGTGTCTGGAGTTATGTAGGAGTAGTCAGCTCTGTTAGGTGCTACACTAGAGTTATGGTTAGATTAAGTGTTGGGAGATCAAAGAATCGAAAAAGGTAGAAGAGGGAAGGAAAGGAGAAAAGAGGGGAAACAAAAAGAGGGATCAGGTAGTGTTAATTGGCCGGTTAAAGGGGAAATTATACCAAAAAATTGCCTTGTTTTGCAGTGATGGAGGAATGGCTAAAATTTGAGAGAGAAAAATAGTAATAGTGTCAGTTTATTTCATGAGGATGAGAAGGCAAAAAGGTGGGGAAAGTAATGAAATAAGTTTAGCTATTAAAACAAGGAAAGGGCAAGAGGAAAATTTTGAAAATAGTAAAAATAGAAATACTAGAGTAAGATGTGGAGGAGCTGTCAATGTGTGGGCTCTACGCCTTCCCTAGCGCTGTGTGATGTAGGTACTAACTTTTGGATTGATGATGGTTTAGGGACTAGAAAAAAAAAAAGTAAAATATTTTTTTGTCCTTCATGCAAACCAACAGATGAGGAAGTCCAGATTAAAGATGCATTATAAGAGCAGTGCCTGACTTTGTTTTAAAGAGGGGGTGGGTACAGGAAGAAAAAAACACGCTGCAGCAACAACACCAACAAAAGAACAGTGTGGTTCAGACCTTGTCCTGGGAAAGGAAAAGCGAGGAGCAGAGGTCGTCTGGCAGTGTGTGCTTTTACTCTCTTGTGGTCTTTTAGGAGGCAGGGTAGGGTTGAGATTAAGGCCAGGGGAATGAGTTGGTGTCTGGTAGAGCTGAGAGTCCTGTATTATGATCCAGGTGAATTAAAGAAATAGGCCTCTGGTGGATCAGGTCGGAAGGGACAGTGTCCACTTTTCAGATGATGGGGGTGACCAAGTGGGGGTGGGTGAGTGAGGTCTATAATGGCCATCTACCTAGGTAGACTAGAAGGGGAGGGATGAATGCACGAGCAAACTCAGGACAGGTGCTTATCGGAACAGCTTGGGGTGCTGACAGGCTGGTCTTGTGGGAGCGCTGGCAGATTGCTCAGTCTATCCGGTACTTTAGCCAGGAGCAGCCTCGGCCTTGGCGTGTATTAGGATCCTTGTCTTAGACACAAGCGAGCTGCCTGTGTGTTGTAAAACTGCGACTGCAGTTTCTACTTCTGGTTTTATGCTTCCCTGGCTGTGTGGGGAGCTCGCTCAGTCACTATACACACCCTCTCCAGGTTGCCCTGTAGAGTGATTCCCATGTTGCTCCATAGGCTGTGCTATCCTGCTGCTGGGGAGGTAGAACTGCAAGGGGGGTGGGATAGAGCTCTCTTGGCTTGGACTTAGAGTCAACCCAATTTGTGTTTATATCGGCCCCAGGCTGTTCGTGCAGAGCTATGTCCCTGCAGCTTGGCTAGTCAGCCACCAACCCAGATGTTAACAACAGAGACAAAGGTCCTGAGCAGAGCTTAGAGCCCAAACAAGCAGTAACTGCTGTCCCACATTGTACTCTAGTATTATTTTTCCTAGTGTTATGTTTTAAACTTTCACTTCTTGCCCTCCCTTAATTTTCCTCTCTTTAAATATCTAAAATTTTATTTCATAGCACTAGTAACCTTTTAGTTTCTATTTTCTTGTCAGACATTTTATTCCTTCTCATCATACACTCAATAGCTGACACTACTTTTACATTTAAAAAATATTTTTCCATCAAATATCAGTACGCGTTCCTCTAGCATTGCAAACAGGCATTTTTTATAACCATTTTCCCATCTCTTAACCTACCAAATAACATTACCCAATCCCTCCTTTTTCACCTTTTTCTTTTGCCTATTGTTCCTTTCTCCCTCTGCTGAGACTTCTCTCACACTTTCTGATCCCTAGTACCTAATCTGATACTTAACCCACTAGCAGATGGACACGGAGGCAAGGCCTGGTGATCCATTCTGAGAAAACACCCAATGAAAACCTTTTGGACCATAACAATACAGCCCGACAGGACTCAAAATGCCAAGGATTGTGGTGATAATCCAGGAATAGTAATTACAGGGATTATTATTATTATTATTATTTTGCTTCTTCCTCTTCTGGGATGCTTAAACTGTGAAGGCTGTTCCTCTTAATAGTGTCCACATTGCTCCCAAGCTTTTCTCGGACTCTTGCATTCTATGTTATTATAGACTCTAGATTTGTCTTGTGCACACGTTCAGGATGCCATCTCTTCCGGTGGTTTCTCTGTTCTTTTTTGCACCATGCTGCTCCTTTGTAGTAGTGTTTAATTCTACTACTGTCCTGTTTGATTTTATTTTTTCTTCTGTAGCATGTAATGAGGTTGCTAGCTTTTCTATTACTTCACTTTTACTCCGACTATTCCTTCAACTGTTGCCCAAGTGCAATCATTTTTTAAAGTTCTTTTTCTTGTAAATCCATAGCCTGTTGAATTTCAAGCATTACACTTGGTCTGGTTGGTATTCAGTTATTTGTTTCTGTTTTTTTGTGTGTGTTTGCAGTGATATCTTCTGTTGTTTTTTTGGCATCTTGGAGTTGCTATTATGGGTGAGTGTTAGTCCAGGGAGACCAGAGAAACAAAGTCACTCGTGTATAAGAAAGAGCTTTATGTCCAAGAGCAATTGCATATTGAGAAAACATCCCAACCCAGTCCAGATCAAGTCCATAAGTCCGATAGTAGCCCATATGTCTGATACCAACGTCTAAAGTCTACCTAAGACTCATGCAACGCATGCAATGACACTGAATGCAGGAAGATCACGGGATAGGGGGTGGAAATTCCTGTGGATCCAGTGGCAGTAGAAGCATCTTCGTGCTGACGGGTCTCCACGTGGCTCCTCCAGCTCCAGGGCTCTAGCATAGCTCCATGTGTCTTCTCAACAGGAATGTCTCACAGGGAGTGTGCGTGTATTTCGCCTCCAGCAAGCTATCTCCAAATGAGGTCATCAAGCCACGACCTGATTGATAGGTTAAACTCCACCCCTTCACTCTTAAGCCTCAAATCGACAACAGAGTATGTAACTACCACAGTGTTAGGTAGGTGGTGTTATGTGGGAGTGGTTAACTCTTAGGTTGTGCAGTAGAGGGGTGGTGGATAGTTTGTATTTAGGATCTGGGGCAGAGGTGGCTGTGGAGAGGGAGTATTAGATTAGGTGTTAGGAGAGTGGTCACAAACGTCCTGCTGCTCAGCCACTTCTGTGGTCAGTCTCAGGAGTGCTGGGGGCTGTCGACAGAAGGGAGCCTCAGCAGACGCTGCTGCTCTTTGAATTTCAGTAAGTTGTGTCTGCTTTATGCTGACACTCCTGTGGTCTGGACGGTAGGGTACCCCTCTCAGTGGCTCTTGTCTGCTCATCTCTGCCGAGTCCCCCGGTGTGTGCTACCTGGCCCCCATCCTGTACTCTCCTCGAATAGTTAATATTTTTATCCTTTGTAATTAATAAATTCTCATAGGGAGATAAATTTGAAACGGAAAATACTCTGTTTTGAATTTTGTCTACGATCTTTAGATCAGTTGATAACTATTACCTGAAAGTATTAATGTGATTGTCACAAATGGTAATTTTCTGTTCCAAGCATTCAT